AATAGATAAAAAATATGTCGACAAGTTGCGAAAAAATGTGCACGTAACGCTCGCGAGCGGGGCAATTGTAGTTTTTGCGATGAAAAAGAACCCTCGAGGCACGACCGGAAGCGATACGTCTTCGTCGATGATTCTGCAACATGGTTTCCGCATGGCAAATCGCGCGTAAAGGGAAAGGGGGAGACGGAGAGCGCAGGTATACGCATATTCCGGGCGCCGAATTTAAAATTCATGTCAATATTATCCGGTTAGCCGTGCATTTTCTCGCGGCGCGCAAACGCCTCGCGGTTCATCGTACGATCAACGAGCGAGGCACGAGAATAGACGCTTCGATATCTTCGGTTGTTGACCGTCGTCGACACGAGTTATACTCCTCGGCCGACCGGTGGAGGCCCGAACGGGAGGGCATCGCCGCGCACACCTCGCAAGTCACATCTCCGTGCGTGGCTTCCGGTCTTACCCGTTGCTTCCTCCCATCGTTAATCACCTACCCGCGTACTGTACTACCTGCGTCGCCGTCGTTTACCTTCAGGTGGCATCACGGCGCACGAGCGCTATGGGAAAAACGTCGCTCCTATATAAGTAACGAGAAAAGTTACGTCGCGCGATATTATTTAATTACGCGTGTGTATCGACACAATTGATTTTTATCGTTATAAAACAGTACCAATTATATACAAGTTTCGAAAAAAAAATACCCAAGTATTTCCACGATCAGTCGAGTTGTCCGCCTTTAATAACCTGTCACTGTTTTATTTTCTCCCTTCTCTCTCTCTCTCTTCCCTTCCCATCAGCATCCTCCTTCAGGTGCATCGCATACGGCATACACGGAGCGGGCGCATGTCAACTCGTCCTGGTCCATTGCACGCGGACGAAGAGCAGGAAACTATTTCACGCAACGACGCTTGCGGTTACGAGAGGGACATTTATTCGTTACAGTTCCCAGAAAATTTGAAAAAAATGCGAGGCGCATAAACGTGAGAAAATTTATCAAAGATAGACTGTCGACCGAGAAAACGTAGCAACAAAATTATGTGCTCCTTTTAATTTAATTCAGAGATGAACCGTTTAAAAAATCATCTCAGTATTGACACTCTTCTGAGAAAACGAGAGGCTCTGGTTCGTTTGCCGCGAATATTATGACTTTAGCGAGACGTTAAAAAGAATCAAGGCAGACGGAGCTTTCTTTCGCGCAAACGGTACCTAGAACCGCTACTTGGTCTGTTGTCCCACTGCCGAAGACTGTGTTCTTCAAAGAGATATACATGTCGATCCAAAAGAGTTAATAATAAACGCGTTCTCGTACGAAGCGCACCGGAAGAAACGATTACGCACGACTTGTGCGTTCCCTCTTTGCCAAAATAAATGTTGGTATTATAAATTTTTACCAATTTATTCTCTTCAAACTATCGTTGTCGAAAAACTTGAGAATTATTTCAATTTATAAGTACATTTTTTTAGTCATATTACAACAAGTTGCATTGGCTGCACGTTAATGCCTTTAAACACTGCTAGATTCTCTGCGTAGTTATCGTTACACGGCGAGAAAATCGTCGAAATTAGCGAGGCCGGATTTAGGAAACGATTACTCACGATGGAATTTACTCGGCCGGAAAACAATGTTCTAAATTTACACGACGCGCGTTACGATTTTCTCGTTACGACTACGGTCGAAATCGAATCGCTGATTTGGCGCCGTTACATTCTTCTCGCATTTACGACACTGACTTTCCCGAAAAATATTAAGTAAACACAATAACGTTTCTTATTTTGCATTAAATTTTATAGAAAAATTTCGCTCCGATTCTAAAAATAATGAAATCATTTAACAGAAAAAGAATTATATTCAACAAGTCACATTTTATCGAGTCTCTTTCGTCTGTCATTGGAAAAATAAAAATCAAAAGTTTTGACAAATAACGAAGCTAGTATTCCCAGTAGGAACCGCGAGACAATTCATGGTTTTCGGTCGATGACAACCGAGAAGATTCTCGCGACGAAAGATTATCATTCGCTCCTCGAGTTCTGCTTTTTCGTGATTTTCTCGGACAGTGCGATGGCTTTATCGCGAATAAATCTGTCGCATTAAATTTAGCATCTCAAAGAACATTATTATCGAGCGATATTTAACGAGATTCAGTGCTATAATAAAACAAAATATACCTTTGAATCTCTAAAACCTTGTCAACTAGAAAAGAAATGTCAGTCATAATTAAATAAGTAAATTTTTCAAAAAAGTAAAAATATGAAATTGCAAAAATAGTTCAAATGATACAAATCAAAAAAGGAGCAAAAAAATGCTAGAATTTTTATCATAATATATTATCATAATATATTATTAGTATCACACATCGTTATCTGCGTCTTTGTGATTTTTATTAAATTTTTCAAATGAAAAAAATTTCTCTCAGTATCTCAAAAAATATTATTCCTAATCAAGCTTGGCGCGTTACAAGATGTATTACGAAAAAATCTTTTATCAATTTCTCTCTCTCCTTTCTTTCAAAATTTTTTTTAATATTACAATGTTTCAGGTAAAATTAGACGTATACTATTCAAACATTGGACGTTCAAATAACATTGAGGGTAAAACTTGTAATTTTCTCTTGTAATAATCTCGTGTAATTATAAACTTTTACTAAATTTTACTTGAACAAACAGATACTTCCGATGGTCTCTCTACACTGTAACAGGCGATTTTGTTTTGGAAGAAGGGAGAAAGGTGCCGAGGATCGTGGAAACGAAAGACATCGGACAGACGGTCGAGAATAATAATTCCGTCATCCGCGCTCGTTTCGACGCTCCCTCGACGCGGCTTCGCACCTCTTCTCCGTACCTCGTAATTCGTGCTCCATTCGCTCGAGGAAACGCTCTTTCCGCGATAAATCAAGAATACTCACGTGGACGGAATTCGTTCAAATTTGTACCGCGACATTTCTTTCCGCGCGCGCGCGACTAAAAATATTTTATTATAAAAAGAACGCTACATGTGCATCTACGTTATTACTCCGCGACTATAAATTGTCAGCCGTATACTTTTGTGGTAACCAATCCGCGTTCGATATGCATTCCGTGGTTTGCGTGCAACGCGTACCATGTTCTCTCTCTCTCTCTCTCTTTCGCACGCATTATCCCCCCGATGACTATTTATACATGCGAGCGGCTAATTCGTTTCCGAGGAGAGCCCGCGAGCAGCGGCGCAAGATTTAAGGTGTTTTCGATCAGTGACAGCGAGCCGAGCTTGACAGCGAGAGGGCAGCGTCTTATCGTGCGCTCGCATCTACCGACACGTATTAATTAGCCGGATAATCCGCAGTGAATAACGATCTCGACTCGTCGTACAAGAGAATGCGGGACAAACAAACGCGAGTTACGCGATACAATCTCGCGATGAGACTTGCTTATTTTTAAAGCAAACGATCGATATAATCCATCATTTATTTTGTTGGATTCTTCGAGACCTTGAGACACGCTGTATAAAATTGCGCGTATAATCGCAGAGAGGCGCTCGGTCGCACCTTCGTATAATAGGTTCACAGGGCGCGTGGATGCGATTCCGTTGTAACCAAAAGGGTCGGGAGAGATCTCGCTTTTACGGGGCGCTATAAAGATTTTATATTTAGAAGGTACGTGACGCGACAAAGGCCCTTACTTTGAGCGTGTCCTAGATAAATCTTGAGGTGTGCGTCGCGTTGAGGGCGCGCGCGCCACCACTTGGCATTAAATTATAAAAATAAATCAATGAATCATTCCGGAGAGAAAGAGGGAGAATTATGACATTCGCACGGGAGACAAACGAGCTCCCGGTGCGACCAATTATCTCTCACGCGGTCCATTAACGACACCGTCGATTAAACGTCACGCGCGAAAGCGGGCAAAAAGTATCGCGATTCGCCCAAAAGTACATCAGCGATCCAATGTGTCGAAAGGAGCTAAATAAATAAAAAGCAAACGGGGCAAACGCTAGTCCCCTTGTACACGCGGCAAATATAAATTGGTGCGGCTGACGATTGCCACGAGCGAGTTTCATTAATTCGACTGGATAATAATAGGTATCCGTAAAGTCTGTGCCGTGAGGTCGTTACGATTAGGCGAGTCATCGTGGCTTTCTATAAATAACGGCCGGAGACAGACATTGCCAGGGGGTGGAAAAGGGAGACGCGGAGAGATGGAGAGAGAAAGAGAGAGAAGAAGAAAGAAAGGGAAGGCTGATAATCTCGGCTGCTCCACCATCGCCGTTCATGGTGTGTCGAGTATCCCGAGGGAAACGAAAAGGTGGTCGACGTTCGGGCAACACATGTCCCGAATGTGCGTTCCGGACACACGGTGGCACGAGGGGACGAAAGAAAAATAGGGTCGACCTAGCGAGATGATGGCCATGAAGCATCGAAATTACCTGCAAAGTGGCGATTCCCGCGATTGTTTCGATACGGGATGAAAAAGGATGCTTTAAGATGCATTCTCGCCCACATGCTCAATGTGTTTGGACCGTACTTTGAGACGGCAAGTTTCTTTCTTGCCCTGGCGGGGATTTCCGCTTATTTTCAAAAAGCCAAATCTAGATTCATTACAATTTTAACAATATGCGAGCGCGTGACAAATGAAGAGGACTCTCTCGTCTTTGCCTTCGCGTCTCGGAATGGCGCGAAACTGCGTCGCCCGTACATGTGCGTCGCCCGTACATGTGCGCACGAGCAGCGCGCGTTTCGAAGCGACGAAGCGGTAACGAATAGAAGAAAAGAGAGAAGGAGAGAGAGAGAGAGAAAGAGAAGAAGAGAGAGCGCGACGTTGGAGAGGGAACGAGAGGAAAGATGCGTCAGAGTAGTGGGGTACGCCGAGAGTTTTGCCGGCAATCTATCGGAGAACTCGGCGGCGTTGGGTCGTAGTGGGGAAACGAGACGAGAGAGAGAGAGAGAAAAAAAGAGAGAAGGAGCGAGAGCCCACGAGGGGTTGCGGTGGGAACGTGCGCGGACGAGCGGTTATTTCAAGCAAACGGCTCTTCTGGCACTTCGCCCCGAGCTTTCCTCGTGCACATCCTCTTCTATCGGAGTGGTGCCTGTCCCGTCAGTGTCGCCGCCGCGACGCTGCAGCGCTTCGCAGACGAGATAGAGAGAAGCCCGCAGAGTGCAACGAGCATCGCGAGTGACCGGACGCGCGCTTCGAATCCGATCCGCGCGACAAGCACGCGAGCACTTGTTGTCCGACACCCGCCACTGATCGATTCATCGATCGATTTCGGGTATCGATTCGTAATCTTGAGCGCGACCCTTGTAGTGAAAAAAAAAGAAATCGGAGAGTTTTTTCGCCCAGGGTGACCGGTGTCTGTGAATGGATGGACTGTTCGTGTTCGGTGATGGGATTTTGAGAAACGTCAAGAACGAGAGGAGACGGATAGAGGAGAATTTTCCGAGAAGAAACCGTCGCGAGACAGCGCGGACAGCGCTAAAGACCAAGGATGGAACGCGGGTGGAAAAGAGGAGCGAAGGAGGATCTATAATGACGCGACGCCGTCGGCCTGAAATAACAGCGGGAATGCGTGTACAGTGAATCACGGAGCTCCCGTTCGTTTCGACGCGAATCTCGTCCCGGCATTGACTGTAGCGCAAATTTTCTTCATCAACCCCTCCTTTTTTTCTTCGTTCTCAACCCTTTCCCGATCCACGGTTGTGCGCGAGCAACCGAGAAAGAGAGAGAGAGAGAGAAAGAAAAAGAGCCTGGTTCCTGAGAGCGGGTTGAGAAAAGCCAGAAGCGCCAGAAGCATCGCCAAGGCAGGAGCCGATCGAGGGGACGAGGGGAGTTTTTCGAGACGCCGTCCAAGGAGTTTTCTCGGAAGGAAGATCGCGAGCGTCGCAATACGGTGAGTACTCTCTCGCGCTGTTCTCTCGTGCTTCGAGATAAAGATACGAACGTGGGGCGAACGTGGGCGAAACTTGAATCGGACGAGTAATCTCGCGTTGAGCGAAAATCACTACGCGCGATACTTTGCGATCTACCGAGATTTCTATGCAAAAGTTCCTTATTCGTAGTAAGCGCGCTTCCTTGGAACGAATATGAGTCATTTTGCGCATCTCGTGACAAATTTAGAAATAATATTGCGATATCGAGATCGAGAGAATACCTGCATCTACGCTCTATAAAAATTGAACAAATAAATTGGCATGGTCGAACGATTCTAAATATCTACGATTGATGAAACGCATCGGGCATTTGGACGGGGCGCGCACCGAAACGCTAGTAGCTATTACCGCGGGAATGCATGAAAATGCATCATCGGCGTCATCGGGAAATAGCCAGGGAACGAAGCGATGACGCGCGCGATGTTTATCGATAGGTTTTGCTCGCGTGCGAGTGCTGGAAGGCATCGTTCGGGAATGCAATTTTAATTGGTATTGCCTCGTTGGTCGATTAAGCAGACTCGTGCCATTTATTTCCCGATGTGATCGATGCAGGCGCGCAAACCAAACACGATGTCGGCGTAATGGAAAACTTTCGTTATATACGATCGTATTTTCTCTCTCTCTCTCTCTCTCCTTTTCTCTCACAAATAACAAATACATTTTAGAAAAACGACAAACACCTAATGTAACAAAATCGTCAAGAATAATAATGAAAGCCCGTGATAAAATGATGAATTATTTTTCTCGAACCTTAACCTTGAAGACGAACCTAGAGCGACGATTTAACGACTGTTCTTGATCGTTTTCGTTTTACCATCTGCTTTAAAGCTTCTCCTTCTCGCCGCCATCGATAATTAGAGAGCGCGTAGGTAATGATTAGGAAGCGCGGCGAGGCGATCGGTTAATTGATCGACTAATTAATTTGGAGCGAACAAAGATCTTGGCTCGCGATACGGCAGGCAACTTTTCTCCGTCTCGGTGAGCCTCGTCGCTTTCCGAAGGTTAAATTATGCAGGTAAGCATAACTTTGAATATAAAAGTCGCGCCAAGCTTCGGTCAGCGGACCGAGAGAACCGAGCGATTAATTCGACGAGGTCTTTACGCGTGCGAGACGCGAGTAAAGTTCATCCCCTGCGCGTCCTCCGGCCAGACGAGGCGGCTTATTTAACGGGCGGGAGAAAGGAGAGGTAATTTATTCCGGCTTTACTTAATCTCTTCCCTCGCGTGTCTCGACGGTCGCGAGAGCCTCGAGGCTCCTTTAATCCAAATTCCAGATCGAGAAAGGGAACGTCGCGCGCGCGAATAAGCAACCGAGAAAGAGACGGGGACAAGAGCGAGAGATCTAGAAACGCGCGCGCGTCCGTCGAGATCCCCCGACGATGAATCAGATTATCGTCCGGAGTAAATCGTTGGCAGCTCCGTAATCATTTATCGCGCACATTTTTAGCTACGACACCCCAACATTTTACCGAGAGAAAGAGAATAATGGTGTTTCAGAGTACTTAATCCCCTCCCGTAGGTACATATCTCGACCTAATTGGCGCCGTTGTAGAATAAAACTCTGAGCAGCGAATTTGAGAAGCTCTCCTTCTCTCGGCACGAAAATAAAACGTCATTTTTAGCGCGCCGGCTCTTTAGCGAATTACAAACCGGTAGTCATCGAGGCGCGGACTGGAAACTAAAAGTATCGCGCGCGCGCGCGCGAGAGAGAGAGAGAGAGAGAGAGAGAGAGAGAGAGGAGAGAGGAGAGAGATTGTCTCGCGAACGAATCATAAAGCGAGTAACAGTGCTCGCTTCCGGTGTTTATACGAGTAAAACGCCACGGGCGAGCAAGTCCGCGCAAACGATAATATACACGCTAGATGAATTACACTAGCCTTACTTCTTTGCCCCGTTTGTATTGTCCACGATCGCGTGGCACGCATGAGTTTGTCTCGCATCCGGTAATACCCACGCTACCTCTCGCGAAATTGCTGATTAACATCTCTTTCAGAGACAAAAAGACGATTGCGAGAGGTCCGCTTTGCCAAATGGGACCGTTTCAAATGATTAATCGTAATGCAAAGAGAGAGAGAGAGAGAGTTTTTAAATTTCTAAATAAAAATAATTTATATAATTTTTTTCTTTAAAAAGCTTGTCAAAAGTTTGTTGGATCAAATTTCTAAATTTAAACGGTTTTTCAAGAGAATACTCTTTAGAAGATACATTCTCAATTATACATTCGTCTCTAAATACCTCCTTTTAGCAATAGTTGAGTAAGCCTGACTTATCCACGCGAAATTCAAAATCATGACTGGCATTTTCTCGTAATGCAAAGATCCTCGAATAATAAGATAATAATAATAATAATCTTATTCTCTCGATTCTTTCCCGCACTTTTCTCGCTTCTATAGAAACGCGTCAAAGTACTCGCAAAGGATTTATTTTATGAATGCGAGACGAGCGAGCGAGACGAGAGATTCGGACGACTGTTTGAGAGATAAGGAAAGAACGAATGGACGGAGGATCGAGGCACGAGGTACGAGATACGAGTAAAGTTGCAAGTAAGCTTGCAAGCTACGATTTATTTGACACATCGCGTCGACCGCGAGCAAGCTAGAGTGGTTTATTTTATAAGACCAGATTGCCGGCTACGTCGGAATAGAATAATGAACGCGTTTCTCCGTTCTCCTTCCATAACGTAATCTCTTTTTCTCCCTCCAGCGTGGAATTCTCATCCCTCTTTTCACCCTTCGTTGGCAAAGTAGAATTGATCAAAAATCGTCCTTCGTGCCACGCTCCCTTTCTCGAAATTAAAATTCAATTTTTTTTATGAAGCAATATATTTATCTAAAGTTTGAATCTAAACGTGATTCGACAATTTTATACATCTACAAAACTTTGCTTCGAACGAAGGGTTGAAAAATTTTTCACTACGAAACAAGTACGAGATCGTCCTTTTTAGCCGGTCTCTCATGTGACGATATATCTTATTAATGATCGTGTAGCGAATTGAGGATAACACCCGTTAAAAGCGAATTATCATAGTTTATTCTTGACGTACAAAACCCAGCGCAAAAAACGGCTCGATAATCACGGCACCAAATTCTATTGAAATTGTGCAAAAACTTACCGCGGAAATGACAAACGTCCATCGTTTCGTTGTGAGATGATCGAAGCGAGAAATCTGTAGAAGCGTGGCACGTATTCCACCTTGTCACCTCGCACGTGTATCAACTTTGCAACCGCCAGAGAGTCCTGAAAATAAGACATTCGCGATTAAAGCTCTCTTCTCGATAAATTATACGACACAGATATATATTACACTTGGCATTACATTGTCAAATTGTGAAAAATATAAAAAATATAAAAGACCCGCGAGTGACGCGCATTGCCTTTTTTAAATAATACATTCGGCATTGAATTTTTGATATCCGAAGGTTGGGGAATATTAAAACGGTAAACGAAACGTTTTACATGCCGCCTGCGTTCGTCCTACGTCAACGCGTATAAATATTGCGTTTTAATGCGTCGATATATTCCCGACTTTTGACGCGCGTCGCGGCGTTACGAGATTTGCGACGGCCACTGTACTGGCGTTGCCGCGAAATTTATTAATAACCGTCAGACACACGCTCGCGCACTTATACATACGTGTACTCGCGAAAGCGCACGGGCGCACGCCGCCTTTGAGAAATGGATTCTCGGAAGAAAAAGCCTGCCCACGCGCGCGCCAAAGCGCCGATTAAAGAAACGCGCGTCGGACGCAATTGCATCGCAAAGTTTTTGCAATCAAATATCGCGGATATGGTAAACGTTCGAGTCGCGTGCACAATGAGCGTAAATTATGTCTGACGCGCATCAAACGCGGGACGGCGACGCGGGATGTCGAGTGCCGAGTATATCGCGAAAACTGTCCATTAACGAGGCGAATGATCGTGCCCCGTCGTCTACGCGGAATCGCGATTCCAGATGATAAATTGCGCACGCGAGTTTATTAAGAGTCCGTCCTCTTTAATTGGCAAAAGAGGAGCGGGAGGAGTCTAGATTGCGCTGCGCGATAGGCATTTTTAGATAAATATTTATCATCCCAGACTGACAGCTTGAGGTGTAAAAAGTTAGATTTAAGGCGGCGGGCCAAAATTTTCTCCGCAACGAGTTTAAGAGAGCGCGTCTGGCAACGGAATTAGCATCGAAATATCCGTCGAAGCGGCCAGGAACGATATTATTCCTACCACGTCCGTTCCGGAGCAACTTTTGGGCCGGTCGCGAAATCGAATTGTCACAAGCGGCGCGTAAATTCGTCACGTGCGCTCGCGGTAAACCGGCTAATCTCTTTCAAGCCGCAGACCCACGGTCGTTTCCGTCTTTGGTAATCTCGTAATCTCTAACGTTTCGCACCTTCGATCACCCACGCTCGCTTTTCCAATTGTGTCGGACGTGTTCGATAACGGCGGACGTACGTCATCTCGGACGCCCGTTTAAATTGGTCAATCTCTCGCAATCTCATCGAGAATAACTCAATCGGCCGACGAGAAACGTTTCTAATAAATTTGACAAGATTCTCATTCCACTAAAATAATATTCGACCAGGAATTATTACGATACTTTGCACGGAACAGTGAGCCATGAGAAATTGTAAATATAAACAGGAATATGTATTTTTTTTATTTCATGATTATCAGCTCTCTCTCTCTCTCTCTCTCTCTCTCTCTCTCTCACACACACACACACGAAAGGCAATAATAACTTTGATGTATACGTGTGCTGCAGCAAGTACGCATCGCGAGATAAAATTTTGCGCCGTCATAATTACATGCAAGTCAATATTTATGGGAGCCAAATGACTTACAGAATAGAATAGATGAGACCGATTGTGCCGTATATAACGCGCTGGACACGAGCACATTACTGATTTATCGGCTGGAATCTGAATTCGCTAATTGCGATACGTGCTCGCCGCACGTAACGTTTCGTGTAGGACAAAACGAGAATGACTCTATTCGCGGTTTATTAGATAATACATCGCGAAAGAAAGAATGCACCGACGTGCAATTAATGAATCTCGCAATCTCCGGAATTAAAAAACGATCGCAACCAATTGCATTTTATACTCCAAGAATCACGAATCCGTATTAATAGACGTTATAAAGAGATACGGAGAGAACTTTTAGAGAACTTTACACTCTAACACGAATCAAACCGGATGCTTATTAATATCTGTATTAATTAAATTAATTATTTTTTTCGAACGCAAGAACGGATGAATAAGGAGCGCTTTGCTTCACGAAAGAAAGATCGTATAAAGATAGAAAAATAATGATATCGTTACCGGATACAGCGGACAACGAACGACGGAATAAAAGTAAAAGACCAAATCGATCGGAAATCGCGTCGTTTCCGGTCGTCGACGAGCAGTCGTTCGGTGGTTGCGCGGACGCCGCCTTTCTCCTTCTCTCGTCGACGGAGGAGAAAGACCAAGAGCAAGGACGCCGTCTCGGCGTCGCAACGAGACGGGAATTATACCCGGGGCGAAGAAACCGTAACAGGTTATTTGTTCAACCCGGTTACAACATCGTAGGCGCGCGGTGGTCGAGCCGACGTATCAACGGACGAATGGGAAAGAGGGCGAGAGAGCGATACGTACTTTTTTTTTTCTCCTCTCCCTTCTTTCATCGACAGGTGGATTCTGTCGAGGCACCGGCTGCGTACGAGACGCGTATGAGACGCGTGCCGCGCGGTGACGAATCGACGATGCCTTCCCTTCCTCCTCGCGCGTCGTCACCTCGATTCCTCCCTCCCTCGCGATTACGCAGACCGAAAGCACCGCAAACGCGCCCGACGACCGCGAAACCGCAATCGTAATCGGCGAGGGAAAATTTTACGAGAGATTAGAGCTCGTTATACTCCGCCTCCGGTATTTCGCTTCTACGATACATCTCCAATTTATATGTCGTTACGTTCGGAAAAGGGATAATTGAGATTCGAAAAAAAGAAGACGCTTCGAATCCATACATATCTCTCGGCCGCGTGTGCCTAACGAACGCGCGTAAAATCTATCGTAGCCGCTATTTAAAGAGCATTCGCTCTCGCGGATGCGCGATAAATCGTGGAACCTTTTGCCAGCGTGGCGGGTGGAAGCCAGACCTCGTGCACCTACTCACCGGGGGCTGATAATGCGAGTCCCTAATAGGCTGACCACATAATAATAGCAGTCGCTCGCGGCTGCAGAGCGCCGCGATTAAGAGAGCGAACCGCTCTCCGGTCCCACGTCCCGTTTTCTTTAAACCTTAAGTGGCGGATGAAAAAGAGCTAGGTAGCATTTAGGATTAAGTGTAAGGATAAAAAGATTAAGTAGCTGAAAGCTAAGATGAAGAGATGGACGGACAAAAATAGACCCGAGATGAATGTGATGAAATACACGCGTGTATACGTTTTTTGTTATAAATTTATATAATTACATCAACCTTTACGTCACACGTATTAATTTACAGAGATATCTATCAATTAATACGTTTATGCAGTTGTTTAAAATTTTTCTTTCTTTTTAATAATTCTTGCAGATATACCCGCGACAAGATATTATACGGCAAAGTTTTACGGAGCGTAATTCAGCGAGCACGAGAATGTCGAAGAAAAGAAAGACTCGTCAATCTCTGGACCTCGTTGCGCTTGTTTCGCCAATTACGTTACGGCAATGCGACGTTTGTAGTCGTTAAACAAAAGGGTCCGTCTTGTCCGTCTAGCGCTTCTCAGAAATGCATCGAGGAGAAAGCAGAGCGAGGGGAATTTAAACCAATAAGACACATGTGCGATCTTTGGCGCTTTGTTTGGTGTCTTAGAATATTTATTTTTTCAAAACTTTATTACGCAAATGTGTCCACCATCGAACCCCAGGTCGGTAAAAATTCCGCGTCCATTTATTTGAAAAAAATGAAGTATCAGAAAAGTGCTCGCGCGAGCATTTTAAGCTACGTTACGCATCGAGAACTGCGACTTTAAAATTTCATACGAAACGAATCGCGTTAATTCACTGAGCGATTAAGATATTAATTTATGCGACTTTAGAACGATTCGCGATTTGCCATGGCTAGAAACAATGTCGGGGAGCGTCTCTCCGTATACAATGTTTTCTAAATACAAAATAAAGCGCGTGACCTCGTTCATTAATCATCATTACGGGACTTAATGATCGCCGGTGGAAGTCGTTGGCACGAAATAATGAGACCGTTCTGCTTCGGAGATCGTTCCCTTCCCCCTAATCTCGATCGCCCATCGAATAACGACGCGCGACGAGACTACCAGATTTTTCTTCCTAAACGAGGATCTCCGCGACTTAGTGGAGCGAGATTTTATCGGCGATGAGCCTAGAGGTGGAGAGAAGGGTCTGGATCGTGTCACGAATGCGTTACGTCCCTTCCCTTCCACGCGAGAACTATCGGTCTATTATTCGTCACTGCAACGCAAACCATCGTTTGCCATCGATTTCCTTTCAAAAATCTCGCCTTTTCGAAACTCCGATATCAATCATTACGGCTTGAGAGATATTTGTCGACAATTTCAAGAATTTGCGTTCAACGATCGAATTCGAAAGGGAGCCTCCGATCAAAGATCGATAAGCGCGACACGCCTTTTTACGAGCGGGTGATGTTCATCGAGTAGAAACTGCAGGCTTTACACGCGGAAGGGGAAACGGGGGCGCGGAAATTAAGCAGAAAAACCGACATCCTCGCGCGCTCGCTCGAGGTGTTGTTCGACCCCGCGTGCGAGACGAACGCGCAATCTTTTCTAATTATCTCGTTCCACGAGCAGGGATTGCGAATCGGATATGCTAATGGATACAGGGGAAACGTAACGATGTTAGTCGCATTTTTACGCCGCTGCCGAGCGGACCCCTCGAGCACCGATAGCATTTGCGTGTGCAGGTGTGACGTAATTTAATATAAACGCAACAACGAAAATTACCTCGGGCGATTGTTATAACCGGTGATGGTACACGATCGACGCTGTATCGCGTCTATATCTTAATGACGGCTGGAAAATTCTTAATTGTCGACGCTCGGAACGCGATGCGCGCATCGGCTTGTAACGAGAGAGATATATGTATAATGTAAATTTCTTCGGGGCGTTTCGTCCCCTCTCTATGAATCGACTCATCAATTTTCAACACTCGCATCACCGGATCATTTTCAGATGAACCACCTCGCGCGATTAACTATGTCGCTTTCGCGAAACGACGTCCGGATCCGCGATAAGAG